CAAGTGCAGCAGCAGCAGAAGCAACAAAGGCAATCAAATGTAATTAAACGCGAGATTAACTCTAATTATAATGAATTAAATGCAACGTCACTTTGGCCATTGAGGCGAGTGAAGTGCAGCCTCGGCAGGGCACAAACATCAAAGGTGCAATTAACTATTAACAGTTTATCCGAAAAGCTTAAAACATAATATAAAGCCAGACAAATACAGATACAGGAGTGATCACGTGTAAGTATGCGCTGATTAAGGCCTGGTTAAGAGCGAAGCCGATCTGCGGAATGGCAAATTTTCCGGACAGACGCGGCAATCGATGTCATCAGGACCAATTCCATTTGCATAATCAATGCATATTTGGCGGAGCCATAAATTAACAAATAGAATTTAATTGCATACTTTCGGGCGCCGCTGCAATCCCACATACAAATTAATAATTCATTAATGCGCATTAAATGTCGCGCTGCAACAGCAAAATCAAAAACCCACAACGAATAGCAGCACATAAATGCTTTACGCTTATTGGCTCTACAGCTGACAACTACCCCCCTCCTCTACACCAACCATTCGGCCGATTAACCCCTTTGCCAATCAACCTGTAATCCAGCCAAACGCCTGCAAATTAATTGCAGCTTTTGTTGTGGCAAAAAAAATTATATTACTAAAGTAGCAAATTTATCAGAGAGCCGTTAATATGTATTGCAATTGATTTTTTTATTTTTGATTTCATCAGCCGTGCAATTTTTGCATGAAAGTATTCCATATATATATATATATATATATATATTTACATATATATACTACGGGTATAGCCCGGCCTTGCCCGTGGCACGTATAAAATTAATGTTTTCAAAAAGCTTTGAAAATAATTTTGAAACTCATCAACTTTCATACAAACGTTTTCCGCCAATTTTGCATGACTGCGGGTGGAAATTTCTAACTCGCTGCCACACATATTTAGTATCGCCCAAAAAATCTTTGAGTTGCATTTCTTCCGAAGATTCTGGATTAATTTGAACAAAGATCTTTGAAAATTAGTTTGATGCCGATCGAATGGTAAGCCAAAAATTGCAAAAAAAACGTTTTTCGCGATATTTTTACACTGCGGGAAGAATTTCCTGAAACCCCGTCTTAACGTGCACCTACATCATAAGTTTACTACAGTGAAAATTTCAGCTTCTTACCTCTTACAGTTTGGGCTGTACGTTGATCATCAATCAGTCAGTCAGTCATTCACTCAGGACAACAATTTTTATATGCTGCGCTCTTTTAATTGTCGCATGCTGCGAGCGGCATTCAACCATCAGCTTTGGCCTGCGTTTGTTGTTTCCTTCTCAACATGAGAAGCATTTTTAAAATAGAAAAAGAATAACGAACTTCTGACTTGAATCTAAAAAATAATAACTTTATTTCAAATCTTTTGTTATAACAGATGGACAGACAGAAAAATAGTCAAATAGACGCAAAGCTACAAAGTTACAACATCGATTTGAATGCTCTTGTTGAACAAGAATGTATGCATATATATTAAAGAAACAGAGAATGTTGTTAAACGAAAAATTCAATCTACCCGCAAAGAGTAAGATCTTTTAGATTAACATAGAATATTCACTTTTTTATATGTTGATGATCAAATCAAAGGCTATACCAGACCATTATGCCTGAAAAGAAAATATTGGAAATTTAAAAGCTACGTGCAGTATTTACAATTGACTTGAATCATTGTTTACTTTTTGTTTAAGTCATTCTTCTAGTAAACATATTATTCATTTGCTTGGGAAACTTGCATTATGAAACTATATACAAGGTTATTGCTACATATCTATAATCAAAATTGAAAGCAGCTAGTTTTAATAGGTTCCACTTTCAGGTTTTTTCGATGGCAACGCATAAGTGAAGTGTGCTCCCGTGTATGCGCAACCTTTTTAAAACCGCTTGCCCACTTAACGGTGTACAAAACAAACATGCGCCACGCATGAGAACACATGCGTCTCACGCACAATGGCACACATACAGTCACATAATGCTAGCACACACACGTACACATTGACAGGACGCGTGGTAGCTGCGTTCCATGAATTCAATCAATTTTAACGCAATTTAAATTGCATTCTCTTGTGAAAACACAATGCGTGGCGTCTACACACGCATACACAGAGAGACATGCACACAGAAATGCAGATAGTATGCGCACACACAAACGCACACAGAGAGATACTGAGACGTGAGCGCACATTATACTGCAAGTGGAAGCATTGCAATGCGTTAATTGGCGGCCACGCCCCAATTGTCAGACCACGCAGCAGAAGGCGTCCTGCCGGGCACAAGCCAGGATAGCGCAGGCTATGCCACAGGCCGCTGTCTTGCAATGCCGACGTTTACATTGTTTCAACTGCCATTCACATTTATAGTTGGCACTCTATGTCCTTCCCGATGGCCATGATATGCCACGGCTGGGCGCATCCTTTTCACATCGACTCACTGTTGTTTAAACAAAAGCAACTGTTGCATAGCCGCAGGCGAATGCAGCATGCAATTATGCTATTCGAGCAATAATTATGCACCCTTGTTGAATATCATATACAATCCATTATGATTCAACAGTGTTAATGTAAAGGTAATCCATTTTTGACTTGATACTCAACTCACCGCCATAGAAAAATATACAATTACAAATGTGCAAGGAACCAACGAGTCGTGAGAGCTTATTGTCAGGTCTAGCACTTACGGAAGCGAATACAGTGAAGCTGGCTTATAAATTGTGATGTAAAGGTTTTGGCTCACTATCAATAATTTAACTGAATTTTTGTCTGTTATCTTTAACAGGAACTTGACAAGGAAATCAAAAGCAATGCCAATATAAAATTATTGGACTAAAGTAGAATTAAATGTGATGACTTGTTGCTTTAAAGCATTTATTTCATCAACCTGTAAGTTGTTTTTCAGCAAGGTGGCAGCCTTGAACCTGTACAATCATAATTTAGTACCTTAACAACACATGGATGAAAAATGTCATTTAGAGCCAAACCCCATAACGCAGTATGAGGATTTTGCAGGTGGTCTTACTGACGCCCAATCGTCAATCGACAAAACCTTGCCATTTGAGTCGCCTTAAAGGTGGAGCAGGGAGTAGTCCTCATGCGAGCAGGCTGCGGTGTCTCAGCAATCTTTCGCTGTATCTGCTTGTTTGCCTTCTAATCTGTTCAACTGTATGCACTTTGAGGTCTTTATGGAGTGTAGAACCACGTACGTACCGGGGACAGTTGGTTATTTGTCGTAGACCCGATTCTGCAATACCTGTATACGATTATAATTGGATTTGGCTGCAATCCCCCAAATCTGCACCCCATAAAGTCATATTGGCAAGGTGCTCCTTATATTGTTGAGCCACCAAAGTTGTTGCAGTCTTTGACGACATGTTTTTTACCATAGCTTTGAGGTGTGGCCCAAAGGTAAAGCGCTTGTCCAAGGTGATGCCAAGAGACTCAACTTATGGCGAGTGCTCCAGGGTAACTCCCACAAGCTGGATTGGAGGGGTATGCATCCGCATTTTGAGGCTGAAACATGAGCTTTATGTTTTGAGCGGGCTAACCTTCAAATTCCATCATTTGCACCAAGCTGCAAGAGTATCAAGATACCCCTGATGTCCATTACTTACTTTTACGCAGCTAACATTGAATTTGCAGAATAAAGATGTTAGCATCGAATGTGTTGATAAAACAGATTTTGATATTTAAATAAAATATTTAAACCCAACTGAATTAATTACTTAAGTAACTAACTACATATTTAATAATATTACAAATCCGCAGTGAGATCCAAAATACAAAAAGCGGCTTAAAATCAGTCTAAAATAGAAACGCTTATTATCACATTTGGTTTGTGTGTGGCAGTTAAATTTTTTTTTTTTGTGTGCAATCCCTTTTAATGTTTGCACAATCCCTTTTAATGCGCACAATTAATTTCGTTATGCTTTGTCGCCTTTGACATGTCAATGGTTATCTCGGACACACACACACACGCACAGGCAGTGTTACAATTTGCTAAAATGTCGGGGCTTAGAAAATAATGCGAATTCAGGTCGCTCCTCAAACCTGGCGGATGTGCGCATCGAATAATCATTGCATAATTATGGGCGTTTCACGTTGCATGTCGCGATGTTGCAATTCGCGATTTTTTGCGCAGTCGTAATTTAAATTATTTTAATTTACACGCAAACACACACACATCAAATTACAGATACATTTGGTTCGGGCATAAAAGCATTGACATAACATTGGAAATTAATTTTTAGCTATGGTCGGCACACCCGAAAAACCATCAACAAATTGTCAGCGTTTGCGTTCATTTGTTGAATTGATTTTCCTCGTTTATTCCCTCCCACCCAAAATTTATGCTGTGAATTTTCGTGTTTACACTAAAGCCGAAATGCGTGTGGCTTCCTATATTTGGTATATATTTGATAAGGGAGATGAGGAGGCTATGAATTCGCTGCATACAAATCTCTACGTGTGTGCGTGTGTGTGTACGTGTATTTACGTGTGTGTATGTGGGTATGTGGTGGTACATGATGCGATTAGAGCGACTTTAAATCATGAAGCATTACAATTTCGACGATTACTAAAACGAGTTTTACGCAAATTTCTGTTTTATCAATTTAATTAATTTTGTGCTGAACTGGTAATAGTCAATTTTATTTGAACTAAAACTTTCCGTTGACATTTGCCTAAAAATAACTTACCCAAAAATAATACATTTATGAAAATAAGCAATTGGGGCAAAGCTAAATATATAAAAAAAAATTCGTTAAATTCGTTTTCCTTGCTCATGAAAAGAATTTCATACTTTGGCTTGTCACATTTTTTTCAATTTTCGTGGGAGTAAAAACCTGATCTAACTTAAACAAGAGAATTTTACGAATTATTTTCTTAAATGAAAATGTAATACGAATTGAGTTATTTTCCGCTGATTATTGCGAACTGAATTGTTATCCGATTTAAGAATGCAAATATTTAATACACTTATGCATTTAAATAAATAAAATAAAATATATAGGTTTATGAAAATCATGAATTCCATGGTCCTTTACAGTTTATACAGTTGGAAGTACGCGGCATTGAGTGCGCGCATCTTGGAGCTGTGCCCGGTCTGTTCACACTTCAAGTAGTGGGCGCGTAGGAAGATCATGTAGGACGTCTCCTGCTGTTCGCTAAGCGGCACCCCGTGTGTAGTGTCAGCGCTGCAGGCACTCACGACAAGCTCGAATTGGCAGTGGTAGCAGCGCAGCAGCTTTAGCTTGCCCTGAAACCGCATGTTGCCATAGGAGCTGCGGCGGCACAGGACGCAGCTGTACTTGTAGCTAGCTGCGCATTCAACTAGCAGAGGCAGCTGCGGCAGCAAGAACTTGGCGCGACAGGCCCTGCGTGAATGTTCGCTGCAGCGGATCAGGATGTGATACAACTGTTGCACTTACCACTTCTGCGTGTTGTGGCCATGTGCAGTTTCGCCATTGTATACATAGGCAGCCGCGTGGCACATCTGATGAAGCAGCGTCTCAATAAGCATGCTGGACTCTCGAATATTTGCCGAGAGCTGGTAGCGCGCGCGACGCTGCCTGTCAGACGCAAGGCTCAGGACACAGCTACTGGGCTGCTTCTTGTTTTGCTGCCACTCGATGCACTGCCGCAGGCCACAATAGAAAATCACGTGGTTAAACAGGCTAAACAAAGACTTGGCCAATCGCGCTTTACAGCTGTCAAAGCTCTCCTGGCGATAGCTGAGCGCAAACGGATGACACAGGGCAAGAGGCGTGTCCGCTACAGAGATAATCAAAGCTAAGCCGAATGCAGATTAACAAGCTACTTACGACTTAGCGAGCTCAGGAAGCTATAGAAGTACAGCTGCTGCTCCTGGATTTGTTGCACCAGCCTCTTGTGCCAGCAGCAAATACGGGCTCGTTTCGCCTCGCTGGGCAGGGCGCTCAGTTCGATGGGCTCCTTGAGCTGCTGCGGCGTTTGCTGCTCAAAGTAGTTGGCATTGATGCGCAGCACATTGTCTTCAAATAGTTTCTGCTTCAGCAATTTAAATAGCACCAGAAACTTATCCAGGCCTCTTCTCAGCTCAACATCTTCATCAACTACAGCTGCAGCTGCTGGTTCACAGTGTACAATGGCCGCAGGCTCACTTAAATCTAGATAGATGAGCAAACGAGATCTCGTCTGGTCTTTTTGACTACTCCCACATCCCATGTTATCAAGCGTCCACTCGCCCACACATTGCTCCCTGCAATGCTCACGATCTATCTGCGCAGGTGAACGCACAACTCGACCGCTTCGAGTGGTGATGAGATTGTGGCCGTGTTTTGGGTACTTGTTTGGTTCCAATTGAGAATCTAAGTAATTTGTAAGCATTAATAGTTATAAAAAATCAAATTGAAATCGCAACTTGCCCATTTTGTATAGTTTACTTTTCTTTTTAATTTCTTTGTATTATATTATTATAAATATATTTTATTTGGCAGCTGACAGTAGCATCAAGTTTATAAGATTAAAACATATTACTTCGAAAACGCTGCTTTAAGGCTTCATTGCATGTACCTACACTATAAACAGAGTACTGTGCAGTCGGTAGCATCCAACAGACACTTTTATACTTGTTCTGCTCTTAATAAATTAGTAGACACCATGGTTTGGTGTATGAAACTAAGTGCTTACTTTCAATCCAATATGAAAATTTCAGCTTCCTATCACTTACTCTCTTATTAATTTTTTTTGTTAACAAAAGGCTTAACATTATTGAAATCCACAACAAAAAATGGCCGAGCCACAATGTAGAACGCAATACTGGCAACAATTGTAAGGCTTATGTGTGTAGTGGGTGCTTATTTCCATTAAACGACTAATAACACTTTAGTGTTGCGCTTGGAGCTATTACTTATTTATGCTTCTAGCTTTATCTGTATGTATACATTTACACATATTTGCATAGGTGATTATATATATACGTATATATATTTCAGTGCACTTAATTTAAATATGTGCATAACTTCCTGGCAAGAAAGGCAGGCAGCGGCAGCTTTTTGAGCACCTGCAGCAGATCCTTGAAAGTGCCAGCACAGCGCACAAAGCATTCTCAGTACGTCCTCTCTATGGCCAAAACCCGACCCAGCCACCAACTGCATATCTCACATATAGTATATATGCCATACTATACGCTACCATAAAAATATAAGCGCTGCGCTCGCTTCCAAAAAAAATGAAAATGCTAAACAAAGAATACAAAAGTGGAAGCCGCCACGAAAAACGAGCGCAAGGAAAAATACTAAAAGAAAAATGCCGCAGCTGAGTTTGCGAGAATGAGAAAGAGAGAGAGTGAGAAAAAGGGGGCCGCGGGACAGTGTTGCACAGGCCAGGGTAGTCGCATTATTTTGTATTACAGCGACTCTATAGCTGACCCCAGAGCTCAGCTTGTATTGCAATTTTTCAATTTCAAAAACAATTTTGCTCTGCCAACATACGTGTGGTCAAAGATAAGCTCTGTAAATATATATATAAAAAAGAAAAACAAAAAAAAAAGCGCGCAATAAAACCAAAACGGCTGCAAACCAAAGCGAGCCGCAGCTCAAGCAGCAGATCAAAAATGGTCAAACGCCAGAAGGGCGGTCAAAAAAAATTAAAGACACACAGATTTACACACACACACATACACCCACACAATCTTAAATAAAATAGTATGACCAAAAACAAAAATGTTCGTTGTGGGAGGTGAGCGGCCGTGGAGTTGGATGTGCATGATATTGTATAAAGGCTGGCACCAGCTACCAGCGGGACATACCACACAATGAAATGTGTTGTCCAGCGTTTAGTCCTGTCACACATACATATAAATATATATATATATATATAAAAGGCGACCTGCTGAGCACCCACAGCTCGGGTTGAGGACGGGAATAGAAAGTGGGGCGGAAAGGCTCAATTGACCTGCTGCAGGGTGTAGTTGTAGGTGCAGATAACTTGGTCAGTTGTCCTCTTTATGAAGGAGCTTTTGATTTATATTCAGTGCATTTTACTGGGAAAAGACACACTACTAAGAATTTAAAAGCCATTTGTGTCTCACAATAAAGTGCCAATGGAAAGCTAAATGCCGTTCAATTCGCTGACAAGTTCAAGTTTTGCTTAAAATTTTAAAAGCATTTAACAGGAAGTAGTTGGTACATTTATTTTACAATTTATTAACAATTTAAAAGAATGGTCAGGAGCTTTTATCTAGATTTTTAAGCCTAATAAAAATCAATTTTATCGTAATGACCAACTTTAGAAGCATGGCATGATTTGTATTGGCTGTTTAAAAATGACTTGGATAAATAAAAAATCACGTAATATCCATCATGATTTATGAACTGCAATTGCAATCCTTTTACTTATTCAGAACTATTCCATTTTCAATGCAATCACCATGGTAAAAACCACTGACTAACAGCACACAGTTTTATCATGCAGCTCGCATATCAGTCAGAAAAGCGAATTCCAATAGCTGCCCCATCAACGCAGTGCTAGCGTGAGTAACTCAGAGCGCGCACACCCACACACACACAAATAGGCAACTACACATACTATTAAAGGACAATCACAAACATATTGTTGAGCATTTTGGAGCAGTGAGCGCCACATAAAAACTAAAGCCAAGACATAACTTCAGCTTGCTGCAGCGATAACAATTATTGCAGCAACTGCTGCACTTGCCGCGCCCTGACCGCACATACAAATTCAGCAGCAGCAGCAACAGAAACAACAACGTTAAAGCCAAATTACCACAGCTCCAAGAGTAATAATGCTTGTGGCTGACGCAATGCGTCTTAGTTATTATAGGCGTGATGACGGTCCGATTAAGGTGCACCTGAAGGCAACATCGTAGCTTTCAAATATGAAGGGTTGCATTAAGCGTGAAAAGTAGCAGCAACCGCTGACAGCTACTTTCGATAACAGTTCATTGTGCCAAGATGCGTATACGTAATGTGGAATGCGGCAACAATGCGTGTGCGGCTTATGTGCGAATTGGGTTAACTATGAGACTTCCAATTTGGAGATTGCATATTTGTAATATTTGTGGAGGATCTTGCTCAGAGACAAGACAGTGGAATGTGTGCCACAATTGATAAATATAACTTTACTCACCGGTGTACTTATGAGGGACTCGTTTAAATAAATAAATTAAAAAAATATCTTGCCTTATTTGGACACTTTCTACTGAGCTTAAGTTAATGTAAAATTATTTAATTTATTCCTAAAGTCAATTAATTGCCAGTGGAAGATGTTGCAAGACTATGTTTAAACTGCACTTGAATTTGCAAGAGCACAATACAATATCTGTCATTGTCAAATAATTTAATAAAAACAAACCAGCTGCTGACTTCGCAAACAGTATAGAGTTGCGAGGCAAAAAGCTATCAGCCCAAAAAACAAATTGTTACAGTTCAAATTCCTGCGTTTTGCGGCGTGGCAATAGTGCGTATGCCTAATGTGGCTTGGGCAAATGCCGAATCGCAGAGGAGTAAATTGACAAAAGCTGCACAAGCAGCACTCTCCCTGCCAGCAGCACAAACCACAAATCCCCAAGTCGCTATAACATTTCTCAAACACTGCCATAGAGCTAGGCGATGCGAGGCAATGCGTTGCAAGGCGAGGCCAAGCCGCATAAGCCGCTAACAGCCACAAGCCAAGCCAAGCCGACCCGAGCCAAGGCAAGCAAAGCAAAGCAAACAAAAGCTTTGCAACAGGAGCAGCACAATAAAAAAATACATACACACACACACACACAGACACTCACACACAAATAAAATGGCAAATGCGAAATTCCAGCAACCCAAATGCAAATCAAAGCGAATGCAACACTCAATTGCTATTATCGACAACGCACAAAATAACAACAGCAACAACAGCAACTGCAGCTGCTGCATTGCTGCTGCCTTTTCAAAATAGTAAATTGCCTTTTTCCTTAAGGAAATGCTGGAAAGCCCCAAGTAAGACCGTTCTTATTACTCGCTCTCTTTCACTTTTTCTCTCTCTGTCTATCTCTGATATGCTCTTTCGTGCTTTTTATATTAAAAACCGCGTAATGGAGTGCAGCTTATTGCCTGCGCATTTTGGAGATTTCCCGGGGTGAAATCCATTTCTGCCCCGTCTCTTTGTATGTGCAAATTTGCGGAAATGCAATGAAAATGTAATGAAAACGCCAATGAAATTTTCGTGCAGCCCTCATTGCCGAAATTTTCATTGATTTCAAAAGCAACAAACGACTGAAGGCCTCAACTCAAATATCAATAGGCAGCCGGGGCCCCGCTATCACCGTCACTCCCCTCTCAGACGCATGACATAGCCACTAACTAGAGATTTGAGCCTGAAGCGAATGGCAGGCAGATCCGAAGTCCCAATCATTTTGCAATCCAATGGCACAGCCCAACACATCAGCCAAGTGGGAGTGGAAGTTTCAATTTGTAGTCAAATGAAATGCACTTCACAAATTTAGCTGCCTGCCTTGGCTTGCCTTTGCTTTCAATTTTTGAAACTGAGCCAATGGCTAGCCATTAAATGTAAGTCACACTTGCTAAATGTGCATAAGAACTATTATTTCTAACGACTTCTTTTCCATAAAATATTAAATGGCTTTGCTCAATTGTTTTTAGCCATGTTTATGACTCAGTTAGGGTGCTGAAATTAATTCAAAAATTTGAATTTTGTTGAGCATACGTACCTATAGGTATCTTTAAAGTTCCTTTCCATCTAAAATTTACGTAATACACTGAGACGGGTATCTTCCTTTCACCAGTGTTTACTTGGCTTTTTCGTCGGGACTCTGTTTTACCAAATCTTTCTGCCCTTAAAGTCATTCTCACTGTCTGTAGGTGGGTGTCTTCCACTTGTTTTTTTGTCCCAGATTCTCACTTAAATTCAAACTCTTTTGTCTTGCTGTCTTTTTTCTTTTTAATTGCTCAAAATTTTTTCTTTTGATGTTTCTTTGCTTCGCTTTCTTCCAGATTTAAGAACGAAATTAATTTCTATGCGATTTTCAGTACATGTATTAAGGCATACAAATTTTAATTATTTTTGCATTCATTTGTTATTTTTTTCAACATTTTAAGACCATTTCATTCTTGGTATGACAAACTTCAAGATAAAAAGTAAATTTGTTTTCATTTAACATTTGATCAGCTATTGCCCTTTATGCAAGGTGGATTTTGCGAAAAATCGGTGAAAATCGAAAAAAGTCTGAAGCATAAAAATCCTAGCAAATACGTTTGATCCCGAAACTTTACCCATTAAATATATGACCTTATAGAAATAAAAAACTCTCAAATAAATTTGGACAAAGTTTGAGACAGATCGGATCGACAAAAGTGGTGCATATAATAATTTTTCGCACTTTTCTTGCGGTGAAATTTCCTAGCTCTTACACATAGGTCTAGTTAAAGTCTTTTCCCCTC